ATATTCAAATATAATATGTGGAAAGTTTCTTGGGTCATAAATGGTTTCCATTTATTGAGCTTTTCCCATTATTTGGCACAGTGCTGTGTGCTTTATAGTCATTATTTCATTTAAGCCTTTGACTCTCTTGTGATATTACTGCTACTGTTAGTGATGAGGAAAGAGGCTCAGAGGATCATGTACTTCTTCAAGTGCCTTTTGAGTACCTGTTATCTGCCAGTATACACTGTAAGCACCACAAATGTGTTGCCCTGCCCTCATGAAGCTTAAATTCTAGAGGGAAAGACAGACATCAATCAAATAATCACACAGATGTATAAATACATTTATATATAATAGATAAATAAAGATAAGTTACAGATAAATCTTCACATCCATGATACGTGCTAGGACAGAAAGACCCCTTGTGAAACAGGAAACTAATGGGGAACTTGACCAGGAGATGAAGACAACTGCCCTGGGGCATGGCAGTAATATTGGAGTTGAAATGTGGAAGATGGGCATGAGTTAACCATGTACAACGGGGGTTGAATGGTGGTGGGGCAGGTTGAGGGGCTCTGCCCCATGACTGTCTGACTGTAAATGGGATTACAACTGAAATTCTCAGTCAGTCAGATGGAGAGTTTACACAGACTTGGGTTTGATTCCTATGACTTTATTAGTTCAATGGCTTTAGGCAGGGTACTGAATTATCTCCACCTCATTTTCCTCATTTGTGAAATAAAGGTAATAATAGTACTAACCTCATGGTATTTTCTGACGATTAAGAGCTAATATTTATAAAATATTTAACATGGTGAGTGGAAAATGCAAATATCCAGTATCTAGTGATTATTAATGATAATGGGTAATAGGTTACTGTTATAAATTTTAAAATCCTATCTTTGGAAGAAGAAAAGACAGAGGAATAAAAAAGGAGAGATGGTATTTCTCCTGCCCATGTGAGGGCGTCCTTCTGTTCTTTTAGGGTCGTTTCTCTACACCCACTGCCCACAAACTCTGTCAGGTCCCTGAGCACAGGGACTCTGCCATCCGTTTCCAGCCACTTAACACAGTACTTGGCTCCAAAATGATGGTTTTGTGTAGTGATAATATTTGAAGCTGTAGGAGGGGATAAAATTGCCAAATTAAAAAATGAGAGCCTGGCGTGGGAAACACCTGTATTTATTTACAGTGGAGAGAGAGTGAGACGTCGCTGCCAGAAAAACTAGGATAGTTGGTCTCTACAGCCCAGGAATGAAGGAGAGAGTGCCGTAAGCTGCATCGAGGTCTGGGAAGACCAGGAGACTAGAGAAAGGGACCAAAATTAATGAGAACATTCCTTTTGGAGAAAGTTTCAGAAACGCGTGGGACAGAATCCAGATTGCAAAATTAAAATGTAGGGTGGTGGTGCAGAAGTTAAAAGCAGTGGGTGCGTGGATTTTTGTTTCAAGAAATCCATGGTAAAGGTAAGCAGAGGGAATAATTACTTTTAATAAGTAGCCAGATTTTTAAAAAATTCATTATTATTCTTGTTCTGGGGGATTTGGCAATGCTGATCACGTCAGAATTGAGGAAAGAATTACCGAGCGCTGTTGAAGAGGCACGGAGGGGCTGATAATATGAGACGGCTAGACCTGCATGAGGATCCCTGCAGATACAGGGGGGGACAGTCGGACTAAACTGTCTGTCCTTTTCCTGGCGTCCCCTTTCTGCCACTTCCTCCTCATCTCTGGATTTTCTGTAGTTGAGAGCGCCCAGCAGTGAGTGGGAGGAGCTTACATCTTAGCTGAAGGAAGGAAGAAGTTAATGTGCTTACAAAAAATGAAAGTTTATCCATTTCTACTCTTCCCAGCTGTGTCCTTGTAAAGCATGTACGCTTTCGAGGCTTAACTGCCTTTGGTAATTTTATGGTAATTTATTTTCTTTAGGTGTGGGTGAGTTGGCGGATGACCACATTGGTTGTGTTTTGTTGTGAATAAATAGTATGTCCGAGTTTTATGCTGTTTGAAAAGTGTTGTTTAGAATAAAACTTCCTTTGAAGCCACAATAGTCTCTTACTCAGAATATTTATTTAGACCATATTGTTTAAATATATATAATTCCCTTAAGGAACAATTGTAGTCTATAAAAATCTGAATTTAAAACAAATAGACCTTCTGGAATTCATAGAAATACAAAATGGATGTTCCAGTGTTTAAGTGTTTATATACAGAAGGAGTTGAGGTGTTCCAATGTTTGTGTGTTTAGGTACAAAAAGAGTAGAATTCGTTAAAAAGGATGATGATCTGAAAAGTTTAATTCCCAAGTGTGCCAGATGTATAAAGTTATTTAGGCAGAGAAAATATTTAAATCATAGAGTAGTTCAGTGTAAATGAATGAGTCAACTAGTGAACAAATAATTATACATAAAAATAAAGCAAATCTACAGTCTCTTAATTTGTTCTGTCCTGAATATAGCTATAATTAAAACTGAGAAGAGTGTGCTTTAAACACAATGTAAAATTAGGCTATTTTTGTAAAATAACTGAATGTTATCAAATTAATGACTGAAAATATGTATGTCTCTTGTGCTGGAGTTAACATATAGTCCTTGAGAAATCATATCTTTTTATTGGGAATTTTTAAATTTTGGTAAAGCAGAGGTGATTTTTTTGTGGGGGGGGAGTTATGAAAGCTTGTATTATTACAGTTCAGATTACATGAATATTTTAATGTCAATGTGGTTGCCGTATCTGAATTTATAATTAGATAGTTTGTAAAGTACCTTGTTTTTAGTAGAAACACTGCCCTCTAAACCGTTTTGTTTGGGTTTGGGTTTTTTGACCATATTACAATCAAATTGTGAGTTCATTAACTAATGAACATGATATTTAAATAAACTGTTTCTAACCTGTTATGTTCTGATATACTGCTCGGTCAGTAAACTATTGAAGTGGAAATAAGAAATTTCAGGAGAGGTATTTCCCCCTGTAACCTACAAATGCATATATTATTCTTGCTTAGTCAGCATTTCTTCCTTTGGTATCCCTGTTCTTATTACTCGTTCTTCCAGTCACCATTGCATACAGCAAAGTTTTACAGTCTGGCTAATATGTAATTGGACTGTTGACATTGGAAGACAGACCCTGAAATATCAGGCAGATTATACAATTGCATGTTTCCCTAGTGGTAATGGAGCAGCAAATTAGAGGTGGAGGTGAACTAAGAAAGGAGTCTATAGTGAGGACTCTCATTGCAAACCGAACTGGGACCTATAGATTGATGTTCATTAATGAAAAGAGAAATACTTCTAAGTTGCCTGATCCAAAGCATAGGGACCAGTAAAAACTCTGTCCAGTCTTATTCTCTGTAAATATAATTTGGCCCAACTGTGTTAACAATATCTAAAATACTGTCTGTTAAAAGTGAGACAGTTTATATAAAAATCCAAATGGTTCCAGGAATATGAGCATCTGGAAGTTGTGTAAGTGAGCATAGCTTTGAGTTATAGAACTGTAATTTCAGGTAGTTCCATGCCTCTCTTCCAACAACCCCCCTGCCCCCCAGCACCCCAAATCAGTAAGCATTGATTGCATCTAAAGGTGTAGAGAGATCTTTTCCTGTCAGTTCAGGTAGTTACCGTAGATTGTTAATCTGTGAATGATCAGACTAAATCCCTTCTGTCTTTGGAATTTCCATGCAAATTAGAACTAAATGTATGAGATAAATTTATTAACTGTAGTCTAGGAGCATAGGTCAGCTTTAGCAAGTTTTAAGCATAGGTTTTTATCCATAAAAAGTTACACTTCATTTATGCTAATTTTCTGTGGATTCACTTTATAATATAAACCGGTGAGATGATTTTTTAAAGTACCTGTAAAGAAATGAAAGATTTTTGAGTGTGTTTTCCAGTTTTCTAAGATACAGTTGGGTTGTTATAGATATAAGATGTTTACACAAATGGCTTTTCCTATTCTAATCTAAAAACAAATTTAAACTTCTTTTCTCTTTTTTTTTTTTTTTAAAGATTTTATTTATTTATTTAAGAGAGAGAATGAGAGAGAGAGCATGAGAGGGGTGAGGGTCAGAGGGAGAAGCAAACTCCCTGCTGAACAGGGAGCCTGATGTGGGACTCGATCCCGGGACTCCAGGATCATGACCTGAGCCGAAGGCAGTCGCTTAACCAACTGAGCCACCCAGGCGCCCTAAACTTATTTTCTTAACATCACCATTAACGTAAAAGAAAAGAGGGCGCCTAGGTGGCTCAGTTGGTTAACTTCGACTCTTGATTTCAGTTCAGGTCTTGATCTCAAGGTTGTGAGTTCAAGCCCCACTTTGGGCTCCACACTGGGAGCATACTTTAAAAAAAAAAAAAAAAAGTAAAAGGAAGGTTGTTTTGTATTTTTCAAAATAGGAATGAAAATGAAATTAATACGTCAAAAGGGAAAAAGCAAGGAATTGGGAAGTAGATAAATAATACCAGAACTATGCTAGATTTTATTGGGCCGACAGGAGTGTCTTTCAAAGTATATCTGATAGATTAGCAAAGCATTTAAGTGAAACTCAGCAGAAGAAAAGTAGTATTCTAATAATAATATCTGTATGTCATGTTTTACTTTCACCAACATTTCACCTGAGCATTATTGTATTAGAATGTATTTTTCTGTGCTATTGCCAAGTGGATAAACTTAAATGGGAATATATAGTAGCAGCAATATTTTTTTCTGTTTGGGATCCCTAGCGTTACAAATCAAGCATCTTGTAGAATATGTAATCCTTTATTCTTATTCTGCTTGGTCTACGTTTCTAATTTAAAGGTTAAATATGAACGACACAAAACATTCTGTTAGTGAATGAGCTTTGTTTTCTTACATTTTTTTGTAAGAGATTTTGATCCAAATTTATTTTTAAAACTCTCCAGGCCCCTACCAACATAAAGCCTTTAAAAATGGAAGTGGATGTTATTTATTAAAATGGTGAAGAAACACAGTACCTTTGAACAGATGCTGATCCTTTTTTTTTCCTCCTTTATTTTTCAGGCCATCCGTTGCACACTGGTAAACTGCACGTGTGAATGTTTTCAGCCAGGGAAGATTAACCTGAGGACTTGCGATCAGTGTAAACATGGCTGGGTGGCACATGGTGAGGAAAATCTGGACTTTTCTTCCTGTTCTTGTTAGGTTCATGTGAATGTGCGTATTTTTTCCGAGCAGTCGCTGCCCTGGAGAAGAGATGGGTCAGCTGTGTTCCAAGTGTTAGTTAACATTCAGGCTCCAGCGTATCCTCGGCTCCAAGGAGCAAGGCTAGGTGAGCAGAGCAGCTCTTAGCAGAAGGGTGCGATGTTTATAGGACAGTTGGGCCGTGGGGTTCTGACTGAACATAGCAGCGGCCAGCAAGCACCAGGCCTGATGGAAACTCAAACATACCACAGTTGGCCTTTCAGGGCCCGGACCTCAGAGCGAAGCTGGCAAACCCTCTTTGCTTGAGGAGAATTCGTCGATGACTGCTCGCCCTTGTCATATGCATTTGAGGCTGCATTTATCCTCCCAGATGTTAAATTTTGTATGGTCCAAGGTGGGTGAGAGAGTGAACGGGAACATTAGTTGGCTGGTATCTGAAAAAATAATCTGCAAATACGTCCTTTCAGTGTGCATCAGGATTGGAGGTGGCCAGTGTTAGAGTGGGAGCTCTGCGTAGGTGTGTGTTGGGGGCGAGGGTGACCCAGGGCCACGGCTGCAAGTGTTGCGGCTTTTTGCCGGACGCACAGAGCTGTTCCGCCGGTGTGCCTTGACTACTAAGCAGTTAATATCTTCTTATGTATGGCTTATGGTTTTTACATTTAGGCAAAAAGAGACTTAGAAAATAAGCAGACATTTTCTTTACTTCCTAGAATGTAGAATTTTAAAAGATAGGTAATGTTTATAAAAGAAATCTTGGCTTGAGATTTTTTTGACAGCCTGGGGTATTGGCTCTTTAGTGGACATATTCTTCATTCCCAAGCTGTGCCAAATATCCAGTGGGTTGTATTTTTATAAATGTCATGTTATCCCAGCAAGGTCTGAGGTAACAACACTGGGCCATGCCTTGAAATGCTTTTAATTCATTATGTACCTTGCTTGTTAGGGTGTGTGTGTTGGCGTTGTGGGGACATTTCAGCCATGTTTCTGTGTGTGAGAGAGAAGAGGTAGATAGGGTGGTAGGAGGGGAATATCCTGGAAGGGGTGTGCCTGGCAGGCAGGGCCACGATCCTTCAGTGCCTCCAGGGATGGAACTCTCTCCTGTTTCATTAACAAGGCCAAAATCTGCAACAACTCGGTCCGGTTTTGAACAACAGATGGGCTGCGGTTCCTTTGGCAGTGTATGTGTGTTACTGCATGCGGTGATTTCTTCTCTCTTCCTATATTCATTTCCTAGGGCTGCCATAACAAAATACCACGACTGGGTGGCTTAAATCAGAAGTTTATTTTCTCTCAGTTCCAGAGGCTGGAAGTCCACCATCAGGGTGGTTTCATTCTGAGGACTTTTCCTGGCTTGTAGATGGCTGCCCTCTTGTTATGTCCTCAAATGGTCTTTCAGTGGGCACACACCCCTGGCGTCTCTGTGCATCCAGATTTCTTCTTGTTCTTTTTTTTTTTTTTTTTTTTAAGATTTTATTTATTTATTTGAGAGAGAGAGAATGAGAGAGAGTGAACACATGAGAGGGGGGAGGGTCAGAGGGAGAAGCAGACTCCCCGCTGAGCAGGGAGCCCCATGTGGGACTCGATCCCGGGACTCCAGGATCATGACCCAAGCCGAAGGCAGTCGCTTAACCAACTGAGCCACCCAGGCTCCCGATTTCTTCTTGTTCTAAGGACACCAAGCAGACTGGATTAGGGCCCTCTCTAGTGGTCTCATTTTAACTTAATCAGCCTCTTTAAAGGCTCCATCTCCAAATACAGTCATGTTCTGAAGTACCAGGGGTTAAGGCTTCAAGGTATGCATTTTGGGGGCGGGGGGACACAATTCAGCCCATAACACTTCCTAAGTATCCTTGTTTCCCTGAGTAAGTGTTGGCTTTGCTAGGTAATAGGTACCAGAACTTACGTCCCAAGCCCATCAGGAGTCACAGAGGCAGTAATGGGTCAGCTCTGGCTCTGCAACTTCAGTGGTATAGAGTTCAGCATCTCTGCTGCCTAGGGTTCTTACCTGTAATACAGGATGAATAATACCTCCTTTGCAGGATTATCGTGAGAATTAAAGATAAAGTACGTGAAGCCCTTCAAATAAATGATGGTATGTTAAAAGTAAGAAACTGAACAATGGATAAGCAATGAGTGGGTCAGTCAATTAAACAAAGGACTTTTCATTCATTCGCTCTCATGTTTTTCCAAAGTGTTACCATCATCTATCTACTGTGGTAGCCTTGTGAGTATAAACGTTTACTGTGTCACCAGTTTGTTTTACCTTTCCAGCTTCCACATGCATATTACATTAGTAGTGTAACGGGTGGGTGGAGGGGGGGAGAAATATTTCTTCTTTCTCGAACAAAATAAATTATCCCTAGCCAATGGTTGTTTCTGAGACTTTCTGAGGGATGTGATTTTTCACCAAACTTGAATAAGGCATTTCTGTTACATCAGCCTATGCTTTTCCTACTGTGTCATTAGAAATCCTGTGTTTCTGGGGATATTAATTGTGGAGATTCACAAATCTTAACTTTCTCTAACTGCTCTTACTACCTTGACCTCTCTTCTCCCCCTCAATGGTTTATCGGTCTACAACTCCAAATATGTACACACAGATGCACAAACCCCACTCTTCCCCCATTCATTAGGACAAATATGACGGGGATTGGCTTCTAGCTTTTAGGTTGGCAGTGGGGTGAGAGCACCCACTCTTTTTGCCCTTGGCATTTCAACTAGTTGCTTCATTCTCTCCTCCTGCACAGAAAACCCTGAAATCATATCTCTAGTTATTTCTGCTCAGAGGTGAAACACAGCAGTCTTCCTGGCTGCCTCACACGGTACGGTGTCCTATGTGTGGGACAAGGAGGAAATGACTTGGGTTTTTTAGTGCATCTCTGAATGTGTACGGAACAGCAGTAAGACTACTGAGAACACATCTCATAGAATTATTTCATCGTATCACTAAACATACTCCACCTGTATGATATTGTAAAAAAAAATAATATTGGGGAGCACCTGGGTGGCTCAGTTGGTTAAGCGACTGCCTTCGGCTCAGGTCATGATCCTGGAGTCCCGGGATCAAGTCCCGCATCGGGCTCCCTGCTCGGTGGGGAGTCTGCTTCTCCCTCTGACGCTCCCCCCTCTCATGTGCTCTCTCTCATTCTCTCTCTCTCAAATAAATAAATAAAATCTTTAAAAATAATAATAATAAATTGGTGAGGCACCTCGGTGGCTCAGTCAGTTAAGCGTCCAACTCTTTGATTTCAGCTCAGGTCATGATCTCAGGGTCATGAGATCCAGCCCTGCATGGGGCTCTGCCCTGGGTGTGGAGCCTGCTTAGGATTCTCTCTCTTCCTCTCTTTCTTCCCCTCTCCACTCCTGTGCGCACATGTGAACTCTCTCACACTATCTCAAATAATAATAATAATAAAAATAATAAAATGTGCTGCCAGAAAAATAACCAAATGTCAGAATCATGTGTTCTCTATAAAAAGAAAAATGTTTAGAAATAAGGTGGCCTCTTTTGAATAAATATGTTCCTGTATCTCTTTTGATAGTGGCATCTTCAGTTTCTTTGTAAGATGTTGGATTTCATGGGTCCTTATATCTCTCTCTCTCTCTCTCACACACACACGTCCATAGCCAACCTGCTTAAATTGTTGACATTAGCTGCTTTACAATAATCTTGAGAAAGATGTTTTAAAAAATTAAAGAGAGTGAGTGATTAATTCATCATACTATAACAGCTAAGTTTTGAAATTGCACACTGGGCCATGTACTTTTCACAAATTACTTCCTTGAAATCTTTAGCACCATTGAGTCAAGAGGGGGAGAAAACCCAACACAGTTCCTTGACTACCAATAGGTATTTCCCACTGAATTAATAAAGGATTTCCTGTTCTTTCTCCCCATTAATGAATTTTAGCTCTTTCACTTTGATTAATAGAAAGCAGGGCTTTATTGAATTTAACTTTATTTCAAAATAAGCTTTTTTTGGTATAGGATTTCCTTACCTACAGTGTGTAATAACCCAGACTTTCTAATTTTGTAAATTTCTGTTCAGAGTTCTTGGGTAAAGGACTAATTCATTTAACGACTGTATTTCTTTCCCTCTTCTGTTTGCATTATCTTTTCTCTGTTTTTCCTTCATTCGCCTAAAATACAGACTGAGTCTTGAAAAAAATTAAAATTCCTACAAGTTTTAATTTTTCCTGGTTCAAAAGTGCTGAAATGACATACCAGGATGAGAGCAGCAATGGACTTCTTTACTGGTGACATAAATGTTTATGTTGGTAGAAATTTAGTTTGTTGCATTTTGACCCTTTCCCACCGTACTATAGTAGTAATTCAACTATTCACAGAATTAAAGCTTCAGCCAAAGATTTTACATAGTCTTAGAAGTAGCAAGGGGGTGCCTGGGTAGCTCAGTCAGTTAAGCCTCTGCCTTCAGCTCTGGTCATGATCTCAGGGTACTAGGATCCAGTCCCACATCGGGCTCCTGGCTCAGCAGGGAGTCTGCTTCTCCCTCTCTTTCTGCCCTTCCCCACTGCTCATGTGCTCTCTCTCTTTCTTTCTGCTCTTTCTCAAATAAATAAATAAAACCTTAAAAAACGAGAGAGAGAGAGAGAGAATAGCAAGTATTACTAGTATATGCCCAATACTGGGTAAGGTGTATAGGGAGGGCTCGGGTGGGGTGCAGGTGGTGGGGGGAGAGTGCTTGCTTCTAATGAGGAGTGTTACTAATAGGACTTTGTTGCCTTTGTAAGAAACTGGAGCATGGTGTAAAGGTTGAGAACTATGGTACTAAATCATTTTTGTTATTTATTATTTGCAAATTGGTTGTGATGACCTTAGTCTAGATGAAGACTTTATTTCTAAACCATTAAGATAAAGTAGCAAAAATTTTTTTTAAAGTACACTCTATTCTAAATGATTTTAGGAAATATTTAGTGATAATCCAAGACAACTGGAAGTTTT